TCAGAATGTCTTTGCGAGACTTCTCCCTCTTCGATATCGCGGGATACGTTTCTTAACGGCTATTGCTGTTCGCGGCGCTTTCGTTCGACCTCGCGGCTCTACTTCCCCGACTTTCCCCGACTTTCTAACGCGGCTAGCACAGCTGACCTGTGACGTGACCCGTGACCTGTGACCGACGCCAGGTACGTGATGGCTTACTCACGTTACGGTGGTGGGTTTGGCTGACCGCTGCGCGGCCTGGGACGTGCTGACCGACATTGCCACTTGACATGCTTCGTTCAGTTCAGATCCAAACTGGCCGAAACTCCAAATATGTGAATCGGAATAGGGACCCTGTAAATGGGGACTTTATCAACTTTGGTTTTGTAGTAAGTGACGTTTATCATGCAAAGGTGTTATTCACTGCTAGCGAATGGTGACCACAAAGATAACAGACGTCGCTGGGAAACGTAACTTTACCTTGTCTCAGTTAGGTGCGGGGTTTAAAATAATTCGGTGTGGTACAATGTCCTGTTTGGGTAAGGCTCTTGCTTTTGTTCCGGTATTCGTTTTCGTGATAACTGGTTCCGTTGCCAATCTTCTGTTAATAGTATGCCAGGCCAGATATTGCAGCAATTTGTTGACCAAGCTGTCTGTGGCCAATGCATGTTTTTTTATCGGTGCACGTCTCTTCTTACTCATGGGAATGCTGCCATGCACTCGTTCTTGTTCTGTCGACCTGTCTCAACATCGACACAGCTGCTGTGATTGACGCAGATCCAGGCTCACCGCGAAAATTTCGAACGCTTTGATTGACAGTCATGAAACTATTCTCATTTTGGCACGGGTGCGAAACTTACCACAACCGTGCCCTAAGAATGTCTTTGTTTTTCCCTTCGAACATCAAGTTAAAGACATCAGTGTATTCAACTCACGAAATTCGTTGGCAAGCCTAGAGTGCTCTCTGACGCTGGCTCCAGCTCCGGCGCTGGCCGGAGCTGGAGCCAGCGTCAGCCGTTCGCTCCCCCCCCCCCCCCTGCGCATCTCACAGCTGCGTCGTCCGGGTGTCGGTGCGGGCTCTTCCTCTGCTGTCCGCGCCTGCGCGCCGTGACGCGCCGCCCGGTGACCTCTGACCCCAGGACGAGCGGCTGGACGGCGGCTACGAGAACGTGCCCACCCGTGACATCCACATGAAACAGATCAGCTACGACCGCGAGTGGCTGCTGCTGCTCAAGGAGTACGTCCGACCGATGCAGGAGAAGCTCTTCGTCGGCTACTTCCATAACGTGGGTGCCGTGGCGGCGGCGGCGGCGCGCGGCTGACCTCGACCGAGTGTTGCAGGACGTGCGGCTCGAGGGCGGCTACGAGTCGGTGCCGACTCGCGACATTCACATGAAGCAGATTGGCATGGAGACCGAGTGGCTGGCGCTGCTCCGCGACTACGTGTCGCCGCTGCAGGCCAAGGTGTTCGAGGGATACGAGAGCCAAGTAAGCGCCGGGTGGCGGCGGCGGCGGCTGCACGAGCGCACGGAGCGTCGCGGTGGTGGCGGCGGCGGTGACGGTGGTGGTGGCGGGACGGCAGTGGACGGCGGTGGACAGCGAGGAGACGACGGCTGCTGGGACGGCGGCGGTCGGCGAGCTCGGACTAACGTCGCTGCCTCTCACTGAGATGTTCTCATGTTTAGTGGGAGCAGAGTCAGCTGCGGTTGTGGTGGTTATGGCTTTCTTCAGCACCGTACAGATTCGCCTCGAGCTGACGCGCATCTACGGATGTACTAGTGTAAAGGACGTGCGCTGATGTGTCTCGCGCACCTGCTCGTAATATCTGAGTGCAATGCATGTGAGCTTCGTGATTTTTTTAGGAACAAACGGCGTTTAGCGTGAGAACGTCAGCTGGTTAACGGGAGCACATCTTTCCGTATTAGTTCTTGTATTGCAGGTCAGGGACTAGCCCCAAATGTGAATGGGAGTGTGATTTGTACTTAATGCTTTTAATTTGTCCCCCGGCTCACGTCACTGTTTTCTAGGTTGCAGGGCACTGCATGCGGCTGCAAAGCCATTGATTAAGGACACTGGTGGCATGACAGCATTGCATTTTCTGGCGTCTCCCCGGATGGTTGACATTAGGAACCCTGTTTCTTTGTGGGTGGTCGACTGGGGTGACGTGAAGTATTTGATTTCCTACGGCGTCACTGACTGTCCTTTCACCAATCATTGTATTATTAGCATTGCGTGTGAGCGGACTTTGTCCGTCTTGTTACACACGTTCAATCTGATGACATGCTCAGGCCTGATGCCGTACATTTGGTTTTCACGATATGAGACGAGTTTAGTTATTTAAGATGATGTTGGGATTTCCTTCACTTGCAGCACTTGTATGCATATGGTGAGGCGCTTTCATGGTTGCTTGCTCACCATCGGCATGTGTCCACCCAGAAAGGTTGTGAGAGGTCTGGTGACATGTCACATACCTGTGCCGCGCCGTCTCTGGTGGCAGTCCCCCCCCCCCCCTCTCGGCGTCCGCCGCCGCCGCCGCCCCCTGGTGACCGTACGCCCCGCCCCCGCCAGCCGCCGCGCTCACTGATGAACTTCGTGGTGCGCTACAAGCCGGAGGAGCAGCCGTCGCTGCGGCCGCACCACGACTCGTCTACCTACACTATCAACGTGGCGCTCAACAAGCCCGGCGTGGACTACCAGGTACCGCGCGGCCGGACGCCTGCCGTCTCTGGCGCAGGCCCGGCTCCGGCTGGGCGCGCGGAGTGGGGGGAGGGGAGAGTACAGGCAGATGCGAGGTGAACTACGGCACGGGTGCTCAAGACGGGGGTGGAGGCGGATTGCTGACACATCGGAGCTGCATTAATGGCAGCGGGTGTAGGCGCGATGTGGTTGGCCAGGTGACAAGCCGTTGGCCCAGTGGGATTCGAGATTTATTCCGCTTTGCCAATTGCCAATTGCCGTGCCATTCCATGGCGGCTATTTTAGTTCATCACTTAGTGAACAGTCCATTTGATGAGGGTGCCACTCACCGAGTCCTCAACCCGACCTCGCTGCTGCGTGATGACGCCAGCTGACTTCCGGGCACCCTCTACACTTGACGGTCCCTTCCCATGACGCCGGGTAGCGGCGAATGCTGCGCTCGTGCCGTGTCGTTGCTGTCACGATGCCGAGTCTCTCCCTCTGTGTGTGACCGTGACGGATTGAGCGCGCGGCGGCGCCGGCTGCTCGCCGCCGCCTTCCATGACCGAGCCGCGCGCGCGCCGCAGGGTGGCGGCTGCCGGTTCCTGCGCTACAACTGCTCCGTCAAGGACTCGCGTCCGGGCTGGGTGCTCATGCATCCGGGCCGGCTGACGCACTTCCACGAGGGCCTGCCCACCACGGCCGGCACGCGCTACATCATGATCTCGTTCGTCGACCCGTGAGCGGCGGCGGCGGCGGCGGCGGCGGCGGCGAGGAGGCGCGCTGAGAGCCTCCGGCGGCCCGGCCGGCGACCCAGCCGGCAGTGGGGATTGTTTGGTGGTATGTGCGTCTGCTGGCGAGGCTGGTGTGCTGTCGTGTTTAGCGGCTCGCCGAGTGCAGCGCGAGACCGAGGCATTACACTGGTGACACGTTGCGGCCGCTTTAGATTGATTATATGCCCTTCAGTGTCCTGACGCAGGGTCGATGCATCGCTCTCGCACAATGCTGTTACTGAAGGGTTCTAGGGAAAAGTTTTGTTTCACAACCGTTTTTTGACTTGCAGGTGCGACCCGGCGTGGCTGAACCTATCACAAAATGAATGGTCCGCAGCCATGGCATTGCAATAATGCTTCGATATTTTTTAAGCGCCCTGTGAAGCGATTTTAATATTTCTAACAATGTTCTGGGACTGTGGTACGGCCATTGCGCAATCGCGATCTATTTGTACGGAATCGATGCGTTTTTAGATGCTTGTGTGTGAGAGTCGTATCACATTTGCTGAGATTATTCGTCGACGAGATTGTTTGCCGGTGAGATGTGAGTGTTTTTCGCCCGGCCCTGTGTACTGTGCCTCCCTGTTTCTGACACGGGTGTGGTAAAAGCGGAGTAGCTTGCGCTGGTGTGTTGGCGTCGGCTCCCACCTTCCTCCACACTGTGTCCCCTCACTGCCAGGCCGCGTGCGGCGGCGGCGCTACACCGCCAGCTCGCCCGTGTCTTCCAAATACACGACCTACTCATCTCAGCGTCTGTTGGCGTGGTGTGTCGGCGCCCCTGGCACGCCTCCGGCTGCGGAGACTGGCTCTCGGCTTAGGCGAGACGCCCTGGTGTGTCCCTTCCCGCTGGGAGCAGCTCTCTGGGCAGGCTGGGCGCACGGTTTATAGGGCATCTCGGGGCGGGGCGGCCTGGGTCACTGGTCCGGATTTGTGGAGCGCTCGGTCAGGTTTGTAGCGATGCGGGCTTACACTACGCCGAGGTGGTAAGTAGCTGCATTCCACCGGCGTACGTCTCCTTGTCTGTGCGCTGATGAGCTGAGGGCAGGCATCGGTGATGAGGCGCTGCCGATTCTCAGCAACACAAGGTGGCGACAGTGCGCGAATGGAAAAAGATCCCGTTATCAAACGTTTGGGAGGCCGGTGGTAGCCCATAGCTCTCAACGGGTCTTTTCCTGAGTCGACAGTGAACTGATGCGTGGGTCACTGTGTGAAGCCGACTTGCCAAGGCCGTCCCAATGTGGCGCAAAGGTCTGCTCGTGGATATCATTGGTCGTAATGTTGGGTAGTCCGTGGCGCGTCCGCGGCGCGGTGCTTCTGTTCTAAAGCGTGCTCTTTAGCGCCGTAGGTACGGTGCTGGACAGAGTGTCCGCACGACACCCGCGTGCTCTAAAGATGGCCGTGGTTCGGTAATTATCTTCATTGATATTGTTCTGATAAATATTCATAAATATAAATTTGCGATGTTGACAAATCATTAGTAAGCCATCCCCCCAGCCCTCGACAGAAGGCTCTCTCTCCTCCCTGGTACCCGAGGAGAGGTGAGGACAACTGGAGCTGGAGGTGACAGTGAGTGATGTCGCTCCCAACAGAACACGGGCCGCCTGATCCAGTATGATCCGGTGCCAACCGACGACATCCAGATGGAGGAGGTGGGCTTCTACGACAAGTGGCTGGAGGTACTGCACAAGTTCGTGATGCCGCTCCAGCAGAAGGTCTTCAACGGCCACATTCGGGAGGTGGGTTCCGCGCAGGAAGACCGGAACTGGAATGCGCGTTCGGTTTCTGAACTACGTAACTGACACGGAACGCTACGGTAACGTGGCGACCGACGACATCCGTCTGCATGTGGTTAGAGTGGGCACAAGATGGGAGCTGGGGACGTCCAGCGTGTGCTAGAGCTATAATATTCACCTCGCACGCATCAGGTAAGGCATGTGTTGAGGATAAACTTCGTGGAAACGCAGGCAATGGGCGTGCACTTATGCTCCACAAGATCAGACCGAAACGCACTATTTTGTCGTTCCAAAGCACGGGGGGGGGGGGGGGGGTAGCCGTCATCATGGCCTAAATTCACTGGGTCGTCAATCGCCACATCATTGGGTGGCGTATACATCTACTACGGCCCAAGGGCTCGCGACCTTTCCTGCCCGTTAGCACGGGACGGGAAGCGACAGCTTGCGTGGTTGCGAGCACGCTCCCAACGTGGTAAACCACGCTGGTCGGCCGGGTGAGCCGCTGGTCTGATATTGACAAAGATGTCTCACGCCTTGTAGTCCAGAGCGTAAAGGATTCGGAGATGCCCTGTGCAGAGTACGCTGGCCACATGTCTCCCGCTCGTCCGTGGTAAGCACAGTGTCTGTCGCCCAGTGTCGCAGGTTCTGATTTCCGTTGCTAACAGCCTCCGTACGCGGGCGCCAACTTCGTGGTGCGCTACACGCCAGACGTTCAGCGCGAACTGAGGCCCCACTGCGACAGCTCCACCTACACCATCAACATCGCCCTCAACCGGCCCCGGATCGACTACGAGGTCAGCCGACCGCCGCTGGGGAAGGCCGTGGTGTGGGTGGGCGGCGCTGGGGGTCAGAGAAGGCTGCGGTGTGGGTGGGCGGGGCTGGGGGACGGGGAAGGCTGCGGTGTGGGTGGGCGGGGTTGGGGGTCGGGGAAGGCCGCGGTGTGAGTGGGTGGGGTTGGGAGTCGGGGAAGGCTGCGGTGTGGGTAGGCGGGGTTGAGGGTCGGGGAAGGCTGCGGTGTGTGGGCGGGCTTGGGAGTTGAGGACGGCTGCGGTGTGGGTGGGCGGAGCTGGGGGTCGGAGAGGGCTTCGGTGTGGGTGGGCGGAGCTGGGGGTCGGAGAAGGCTTCGGTGTGGGTGGGCGAGGCTGCTGCTCGGGGAAGGCTGCGGTGTGGGTGGGCGGGGCTGAGGGTCGGGGAACCTTAACGGATGTTCCGCTCTAGCGGAATTATCCTAAGAAGTGAGCCCCAGTGTAATGTTTTCAGCGACACCGTTTTTTCCGTGGGTGCGGTTCACATGATGTGCTCATTTTATCGGTCATGGTAAATCAGAGAACAGTAATGCCTACGATGCTACGAAGCTCTTACTCCTTTGAAAGACAGAAAATCGGGGAATCATGCTCCTTGCTGGATGACGTATAGGCAACGGGAAACACTGGGTTATGGAAAGAACTGAGCGCCCCCCCCCCCCCCACACACACACTTAACCTTGGAAAACCCCAATATTAACCCCAGTGTATCATGAACCCTAAAGCGTTGCCAGTGAACGCCCCCGAAACGGATTTCTTTTCCTCAACCTTAAATACGGTCCAGCTGACCACATGTGCCACCGCGCGCGCTGCTGTCGGTGACTGCGCCCGCCCTCGGCTGGTCCAAATGATCCATCCCGACTTCTGGCGGGTGGTGAGACCCGTCTGTGACGCTGGCAGGGAGGCGGCTGCTACTTCACGCGCTACAACTGCTCAGTCACCGACTCCCGTCTCGGCTGGATGCTGATGCACCCGGGGCGGCTGACGCACGAGCACCAGGGCCTGCCCACCACCAATGGCACGCGCTACATCATGGTCTCTTTCGTCGACCCTGACGTCTGATTGGCTGGCCGCAGCCGGGCTAGTTATGTGCAGCTACTGTTAGCGCAGCCAGTTTCACAAAGCAAGTGTGCGATGGGTGGTGGTCGTGTGTGCAGAGTTTATTTCGCTGCTATGAAAACAAACCGTCCGGGTTACTACAACACAGTTGTTTTCGCTTGTTTATGTAAATGGTATGGTTATGGGTGTCGCTTTGCATACTTTGTGCGGCGGAAGTATTAATTAGAAAACGTCCTGATAAATAACATGTGTTGGAGGCCTAATTAAAATTACCTTCTAGGAAATAATTGCTGCTCCCTCCATTTGGCCTACACGGAATTCACCGCCCTCCCTGCCAGGGTGAGGGGCAGACGATGTCATAAAGCCTCAGCAGCCGAGTACGTCGCAAAGCCCCAACGACAATAATTAACCGCCCTCGGGTAAAACCTACCCGTAAAGCACGCGGCACTGCAATTACGCAACCTGTAGCCTGTGGCTGTGCCACCCAGTAATTGTACCACGATGGCGAGCTTTAAAGGCAGAGTCGCATCTGGGCTGCATGAAAAAAACGTGCAGACGAAAATCACATGTACACTTTCCAATCTTGTGCGTGCAGTTTTGCTACTGCCTAGACTAAACTACTGCTACGTGAAACTAGCTATCGGCCGCTGCCCGACATACGATGCGTGATAAAACGCTGTCGAAATGCGTGGACACGTTCGTGATTCCTCGCATTGACTGCACGCCTGGCTAGGTTCAACGCGTGGTATGCACCACCCGCCCAGTTTGATGTGATCTTAAGGCATCTTTTGAGCCATGCCACACGACACCAAAGACAACCAATCCTGCGAAGCGTTAAGTAGTTGTGGGGAAGCGCCGTCGCCTGTGGACGGCCGCAGCTTGCGAGCAGGCCGTCGCCGATTCTCGTCTTCAGCGCGGCCATGTGTGGGGACCCGCGGCAGGTGTGACGGCAGGCAGCCCAACGGTCACTGAGACCAGGAGGCTTCTGACATTTTGCCACCGAGGGACGCTCCTCCGGGCCGCCCCGTCACACCAGTTGCTGGGATTCTCCGGCGGCGGGCCACCGGGATGACCTGCAGTTTTTTTTGTGGCCGTGAGAGTCGATGTCCTCAATTTTGTACCGCGCTATGGACGACTGCCTGTCTGACCGTCCACTGCACTGCTTCGTCGATGGCCGCTGGATGCGTAGCCCGGTGAGGGTTTGGCGTTTGGACCGCGTGCTCTCTGGTGATCACAACCAAAGCCGTCTTGGTAGAGAACATCCGTGCCTGGTAGATGCGTTGTATTTTAGGGCGAGATCGGCGGGATACTTGGTTCAAAGAACATGCGTAACTCAGCAAACTTCGATGCATATTGCCTGCATAGCTTGCCATGTCTTTCAAGAATATAAATACACATACACATATTTGGTTTACCCTGCGACTAGAAGCTCTCACGGCGCCCATTGCTCGAAAGTCCTGTACATTTCCTCCGGCGAAGTGTTGCAGAGAGATTGCCTCAATGCACTGGACAGCTCCCTCACTCTCCTCCCACACATGCACCAACACACCGGACCCCACGGGATGGCGCCATGTTAGCCGGACATCCCCGATGAAAGACGGTACCACCCTCCGCCGCAGCACGACGCGCCCGAGCGGCCGCACGGGACCGGCGAACACCGCCAGCCGCCACCGCGTGACCTGTGTCTGCTCAGACAGGCAGCGACCCGACCGGACATGAGCATGAGCACATGAGCACCGGCTCGCCCATCATATAGATAATATGCGCCGGTGCGCCGGCGCGCGCCGACCGCTGTCCGGCGGCCATCTCGTCGCCTCGCCGCCTGCCCGGCAACGGCAGGCAGCTCAGGCTAGAGGGACGCGGCTCAGTGGGCCCGCCCAGCCGGCGCCGTCACGTCCTCGCTGCGACAGCCACAGCCTCGCCGAGTCACCACATGAATGCCGCCGCGACACCGGTCACTCCATCACACCCACTGAAGCCCCGCCGGAGCAGCTCCCGTTCCGGCGTGACACGAGCAGCTCCCCCGGGCCAGCAGCGGCTGCTCCGCGACGCCAGCCGCAGCTCCGACGGACCGGCCCAGCTCAGACGACGGCCGGCCGCGGCCGGGCCATGCGGATAATCTCGGCTCGCACCACCTCGGCCCGCTGCACGTTGTGGCAGCGGACGAGGCAAGCCGCGTGCTGGTCGGACGCTTCGCTCACCCAGCACCAGCAGCAGCTGGTCGGGCGTCAGCGTGGCGGCCAGGTGGTCGAGCAGCGCGGCCAGCGCCGCCTGCTGGCCGCTGGCCTCGTCGGCGGCCGGTGGCTGGGCGGCGACCAGCGCGGATAGGACGGTGCGCCAGTCGGCCGGCTCGGCGCACCGCTCCTGTGGAACACGTGCCGGCAGTTTGACTACGCACCGGAGAGTAGGCGGCCCAGGGCCTGCGCGCCGCGCCGCCAGCCGAGCGGCGGCCCAGGCGAAGGGCAACATTGGATTTGGGACCAGATTTTGGAACGTTCGTGGGCTTCGCTGGTGTGATTTGGACGTAAACGAACGGGCGTGGTGCTACTCTTCCGCGATTAAGTCCACAGACAGAGTTTCTGAGGCTCAAGGCAATGTAAGACATAACTGAACACGCAACAACAAACCCAACGCGCTCGACGAATTGCCAACCTCGCTAATCTGCAGAAGCCCTCCGACATCGAACACTTCTCGCCCCGCGGGCTCCCTCGCCGGCGACCCCCAGCCGCGGTCCACCCGGCACCTTCACCGCGGGCGCGCGCCTCCCACCTTGGCGTGCTCAAGCGCAGCCTCCGGGTACTGGGCGGCGATGAGTGCCGCGGCCGGACCCAGCCCCGAGCAGAGCGCCCGCAGCGCATCAGCGCCGGCCGCCGCCGGGTTCGCCTCCAGAAACTGGACGATGTTGCGCCGGTCCTGCTCCGACGGCAGGTCCGAGCAGAGGAGCGACTGCGGCGGGCGCTCACGTCACACAGGCTGTCACGCGTCACACAGGCTGGTCACGCGTCAGACAGGCTGGTCACGCGTCACACAGGGTGGTCATGCATCAGACAGGCTGGTCACGCGTCAAACAGACCGGTCATGCGTCAAATAGGCTGGTCACGAGTCACACAGGGTGGTCCCGCGTCACACCGACTAGTCACGCGTCACACAGGCTGGTCACGCGTCAGACAGGCTGGTCACGCGTCACACAGGCTGGTCACGCGTCACACAGGCTGGTCATGCGTCAGGCAGACTAGACACGCGTCACACACACTGGTCACGCGTCGGACAGGCTGGTCACGCGTCAGACAGGCTGGTCATGCGTCAGACAGGCTGGTCATGCGTCAGGCACACTAGTCACGCGTCACACAGACTGGTCACGCGTCGGACAGGCTGGTCACGCGTCAGACAGGCTGGTCACGCGTCACACAGGGTGGTCATGCGTCAGACAGGCTGGTCACGCGTCACACAGGCTGGTCACGCGTCAAACAGGTTGGTCACGCGCCACACAGGCTGGTCACGCGTCAGACAGGCTGGTCGCACGCCCGACACTGGCCGACGTTGTGTTATGCTACACATTGCCGCGGCATTTCAGACGGTACGGTAGGTGGTTGACCACCATGGACAAACTCTTGCCCTTCTCTGGGAATGGTCGTTCCTGCTCAAACCGACTTATCGCGCTCATACGCCATCCCGCTCACCTGTTTTGTGCCACGCTCAGCACAACCCACACACACACACACACACGTTTTTTGTTGTTGTTTTTATAACCAACCGAAGGCGATACAAGTCGCGGAACTTCTCTTTTGAGCAGGCAGTTCGACCCTCTCCACAACAAGCGGAGCGGCGCCGGCGCCGACGCCCGCGGCACCAGCGGCGGCGTCCACTCACCTGTAGCATGACCAAGTCCACCAGCCGGGCGTCCGCCTCCATGTCGGCCAGCACCTGGGCCGGCGCGCGGCCGACGAACGGCGGCAGCAGGTTGAGCCAGCCGGCGCGCGGCCCGTACAGCGCGCCCAGCCGGTGTCGGCTCAGACCAGGCCCGGCCGACCCCGCCGGCGGCGGCGGCGCGAACGCGCCCACCGTGCCGCCCCAGGTACATGCGCCACGAGCAGGGTGACGGCTTGGCCGGCGCCGCTCGGCCGGCCGCCGCCCTGCAGGTAACGCTCCAGCAAGTCACGCAGCAGCAGCTCGTAGCGCTGCGCCGCCTGCCGGTCGCTGGTGTCGGCCGCCTCCAGCAGCAGGGCGGTGAGCTCGGCCAGCGGCGGCTGGTCGGCGGGCGGCCAGCGCGGCCAGCCCGGCGGCCAGCACGTCCGGCCTACCGGCGGCCAGCAGCTCGGCCAGCTCGGTCAGCTGGCGTCGGCCGGCGCCGGCCGACACCAGCAGATGCGGCGCGCCGGCCGGCAGCGCCTCCTCTGTCAGCAGCTCGAGCAACGGCTGGCAGCGCCGGCGGCGGCGCGCCGCAGCGGGCCAGCAACAGCAGGGCGGCCAGCCGCGCCGCCTGCGCCACCGCCTCGGCCAGCGCCGGCTCGGCCAGCAGCCGCTCGAGCGCCTCCAGCGGCGGCTCGGCGCGGGTACTCGGCCAGCGGGCCGGCAGCCAGCAGCGCTGGCGCCAGCGCCTCGGCCGCCCGGTCGCACAGCACGCCCAGCGCCTGGTTGGCCGGCTGGTAGGCGAGCGGCTGCTGGTCAGGCGCGGCCAGCGCCGCGCTCAGGTAGCTGTCCAGGCCGGGCGCCTCGGGACACTCGGCCAGCACGTCCTGAACGGAGGCGCCGGCCAGCCGGAGCCAGGGCAGCGCGCGCGGCCAGTCCTCTTCGGCCGGAGACCTGCCAACACACCCACACGCACGTAGTGTCAGGCAGCCACTGCCCGGACCGAATGTACACAACGACTGCACGTGACTGCCAACCGGCAGCACACACTAAACACTGCCGCCAGAGCAGTTGGCAAAGCTACTTGAAGACACGCCGCATCGACAACTTCTCCCCCATCCCAGCCAACCAATCCAAGACACCACCGGACTCAAGCTTTGAATTTCTGGGAAAAGCAGC